TCATGGTGTTCTGTTACTAAATATTAGCACTAATGAGAAAGCATAGCTTCCACATTTTGTGACGCCGAGTTTCCACTACATATGGACAACTTCGGAATTTGTGTGTAATCTAATCATGTAATCACTAACTAAGCAAGTATTTATACATAATTCAGTTTACCTGGATTATAGAATACCAGCAAATCTGAAACCGGATAATGTTTAACTGCCAGAAAATACTCATGCTTCGTTTTTTTGTTTTGGTTTGGTTTGGTTTTGTTTTGTTTTTTTTTTTAGAAATGTGTCCAGTGCAAGGAAGTGGTGGTTGTCCTGTTCCATTTTCCATCAGGATGAAAACAGCTTGTCCTTAGTTTTTAAAATGGAGTGTTCTTCCTCACTGGGAACACGAGCATTCAGACATCCATGGCCATTCTTGTTTCTCAAGAAAGATTTTCCTTCCTTTTCCTTCTCTGCAGGATAACGAATGGTTGGAGATCTTTCTTCAAAACCAAGCTGAAAGGAAAGACTCGTAATATTTCCAACATGAAATAGATCTGTTCTGAAAAGCCGTGTTTCCCAAATTTGATTTAACAGTTTACCTGGAAATTATTTCAACCTGGGACTGCTAGTGATTAGATCTTGCAGAACTGCAAGTGATTCTGTGCGAGACAGAGTGTTAATCTCTGTCTGATCCCCAATTAGTCTTCCCTGCAGTAAGTCTGGTTCTGTGAGCAAAGAAAATACTTATGCAGGAGTTGCAGTCAGCAAGCAGAACTTGGTGTTGTGTTAAACTCTCTTGGTGTTACTTGATGTAAGGTGTCATAGCTTCAAGTTCATAGCAGGGATGAATTTCAGGTTGGCTCAAGTCTCCTGGTGCGAGGCAGTGCAAGCAATTAAGGGTGTATGAGGGCGTTCAGCATGCTATCAAAGGTGGTAGGAAGAGAAAAATATTGCAGAAGCAAGGTCACTTGGTATTCATTTGGGACCCAAGCCAATATTCTTTAAAGCTCCTCAAGTTCAGTGGATTTAGCTGTGGTTTCATCTTTGCTCATGTACTTTTTAAAGTTCCAGAATAAGGATTTTTATTGCTGTTTTCTTTAAAAATCTAGGTACTAACGGCTGCATCCATGTGAAGCAGGGCTTGAAACCGAATTCTTCTCACTGATATTTTTAAGTGAACTTTCTTGTGTATTAAACATCAGAACTTTGAAGAGTAAGTTAGTTACCTCCCAGTGTTTCTGATGCAAGTAACTAAAGCTGCTGATAAAAATCAGTGTGGCATTTAAAAATAAAAAATGCCTGAACTGAAACGTGGATACATGCATTTACATGTTGAAATGACTTGGTGTTTAACGAAACATCATTGTTGAATGTCAAGGGAAAACTGGACAGGGAATGTCGAGAAGTATCTTGAATGCAGATGTGGGATTTCACTGAATCTCAGGTAAACTGGAGTTAGTCTGGCTTGTTTTGAAGGGAGTTGTTATTTGGCAGCAACGCTCTTGAGCCGTTAACCTCTCCAATGTCAATTCAGCTTCAAAAGGGAAGATTTACATTCCTGAATTTCCACCACTAAATCTTTTATCTTGCTCCTGTAGCTGGGGGTTTATGCAAATTTTACTTGTAATAGAGCATTTGTTTCAAGTGTGTGGCTCCTGAGATGCAATGTTTATTACATTTGCAGTGAAGATCTGCAGAGGTGCAGGCTTCAGAAGTTAATGCGAGCTAACTAATCCAGCACATTAGCCGAAAACCCTTGCTGAACACTTGAAGTGCTTATAAAGCTTGTTGTTTAATAGAGTCAGTGCTTTCTTTGGAGAAGAGATTCATTCATTCATCGACTTAATCAACTGTGTGCAGCGCTGGAGAGGCCGTGCGCTCCCTTATGGCAAGGCGTTCGAGCAGAGGATGGCATCCTGCTTGCTTTCAGCCCTCGTACGGCACCGCTGTGTCCAGCACGTGTACGTCGTGGCTTTGGAGTGCATCCCCTTGGTAATCATTGAATGGTTTGGGTTGGAAGGGAACCTAAAGATCACCAAAAAAAAAACAAAAAAAAACAAATTTAAAGAGTTCTGTAGCACAAATGGCTGTGGTGAGTGGCACGGAGGAGACAGCGAACGGCACTGTGCCAGAGCATCCTGGTTCTGTTCCTGCCTCTACCTTTGGTTTTCTGGCAGGTAAATTCTCACCCTTCCTCCCCTTTTCTCCCCAGTGAAAACTGTGTCTTCCAGGGAAGAGGCTGTAAGATAGTGATGGCAGAATCCCAGGGTCTGCGTTTACTTTGGGGGAGGTATTTGGTAACCTGTTTGGTGTTCTTCATTCTGGTCATCTGCTTTTTATTTCCTCTCTCGGAGGCTGTAGCAGCGAAAAGGCCCCAGCTTAGGTCAGAGCGGGCTTGCTTCAGTCCCTGCACAAACACCCTTTCCTCAAAGACCTCCGGTCTCCGAGGGCGAGCAGGGGCAGGACATCATCTTCTCATTTTCCAGCTCATAAAATGACTTGTCAAAGGTCGTATCTCTTAGCATTTCAGGCACTAGTTCTGTAGCAATAATGAAGCAAAATAAAAGTTACTTTAGATCCTGGAGAAAAAATAAAATAAAATTAATTTTCAGCAAGTTAGACGCTTTTAAAATATATATATATATTTTTTGAATGAAAAGCAGAACAGCCTTGTAAATGATGTCCTTGGTGTTTCTCCATCCTTTTTACTTACATCCGAATGAGCAGCGGTGCATCTGCCCACCTCTGCAATAGTTTGTGTAGTAGCAGCCGTGTCCTGAAAAAGCTTTTGTGAGCTCAGTGTTCATGCTCTGCTGTTTCATTGTAAATGAGAACTGATCATGACAATCGTGTCTTTGTGGAAGCAGTGTCAGGGAAGGAAAGCAGGCTGGGTTCTGGGGCCTCAGCCCTCTGGGGCTTTCCCTTGGAGCAGGAGGGTTTCTGGGCTTGCCACTTCAATTCGAGAGGCATCCCAAAAACTTTTTTCATGTAGTCTTCACTGGAGGTAGCTCAAGAATAATGCTTCTGGCAGGATTTTGGCATGATTCTCTTAAATTCCCTCGATGAGATCTAGGACCCAAAAGAAGGAGAAAAAGGGCAGTAGAAGGGCCATGCCTGAGAACATGTGCACATCCATAGCTCGGCTTCCTTCATCTTGAAACACTTTCTCCAGGTAAACCTGCAACTCTTTAAGCTCAAGAATAGCCTGATACACCTAATTATTATTTTTTTACACTAATAATAAGACTATCCACCTTTCCTACATATATGAGGCACACCAACCTCTATTAATGTGACCTCAGACATACACAAAGCTGACTTTTTAAGTGAAAACAACTGAGAGGTTCTCTTGAACCAACCCAGCTGGAAAGGAAACGACTTTATCCACTGTTCAGGGATGCTGTTGAGATCCTGATCCCTCTGACTCCTGTGTGGAGAAGGGGAGAAAACAAGCAAGCAGCGCTGCACGCAGGACTCAGGTGGTTAATGTACTGTGTATTATTGCTGTAAAGCCAAGACCTCAATCTCTCAACTCTCCAGAACACAAACAGTCCTTGGCTTTTATAGAACCATAAAGAGCTGCCTTAAAGGCTGAGGACAAATTCCAGCCCTGATACAAATTGGCACAGATATTACTGTATCCGAAGGGAGGTAAGAGTTTCTTGCACTAGGGCTGAATTTGATCCACAAGTGAATACAGTTGTCCCATCAAATTCTGCCGAGCAGCTTGTCTTCTGCATGCTTGCCATTCAACTGTCACGGAAAATGACGTTTTCAGCCGAGCTCCAGCTAGTGGAAGAGTTTTGGAAGCTCTCCAGCGTTCTGCAGAGAAATGGGGGGAGGATTCTTGCTGCTTATCAGATCCAAATGCAAGAGGAGCTCTCACCCTGCAGAACTCATAATTGTTCTTAATGCCTTTTGCTTTTTTTGTACCCGTTAGAATGATGTGCACCTTGCAATGAAAATTTGTGATAAATTAGTGCTGTAGTCTCCACTTAAAGTTCAGCGTGGAAAATAAAGAGGCATTTGTTACAAGATTGAATTATATGTAGGCAACCTCCTGCTATAATGAGCTCAGGTTTTCTAGCTGTGTTAGAATAAACTCTTGCCTGTATCTCCTGCAGTGTGTGATTTTTTTTCCTAAGAACACATTTCCTTCTACTCGATCAGCTCATCTCTTGCAGATGATAAAATTATCTGCAAAGATTTGTGTCTGATGTTGTGCCATAAATCATACTTACTTGTAGGATTAACATTTGCAAACATAGGACATTTATGAAAAGTAGGAAAGGGGGAGAAATTTGGAATTGTTGTATTTACATTAAAAATAAATAAATCAGGATAGTTCTTGTAGACTTTTCCAGTACATTTTTACAAGGTGTGGATCTGCTCAGCTCCAGCAAGCATCCATAAAGGCTCTTGGAGGCTCTTGGTGAGGTTGGTAAGATAAGGGACCCACGAAATCATGACCTTGGGCAAGCAGCTGTGTGTAGGAGGAATAAATGTGTGGTCCAGCCGTGCTGAAAGCTGGAATGATAGAATACCCTGAGATGGATGGGACCCACTGCTGTCCCAGTGCCCCACTCTCCTCGTGAAGAACCTTTTCCTGACATCCTTTAGCTACATGTGCTGGCAGTCAGCATTTCAAGTCCTTTGACATGCTCACACCGGGCTGGCTGTTGCAGAAATGCTCAGCCTCTATCAAGGCACTGGAAGAAGGGCCAGTTTTTTAAAGGTTTGTCTTACCAGCAGCTTCCAGTTTACCCTTCCTAGCCAGATGGTGCGTTGCATAGGCTTTCAACAGATGTAACATCTTTGTACAAGTGGGGACCCACCAACTAAGCCAAATTTAAGTAGTCCTGTTGAAGAGAGAACTGCAGGTGCTCCATACAACCTAGAAGCATCAAAGGTTTGTCTTCCTGCGAGGGTGTTTGAGGCTGTGCTGTGATAAGAGCTGAAGAAATGCATGGCTGAATGCATTGCTGACACATTTCTCTTTCTCGGTCTCTTCTCTCATGCAGGTTCCTCACCACATGAAGACTTTACCCTATTACAGTTACGACCAACCGGTGATCGGATACTGCCAAGCCCACAAGCCTCTCCATGTAAATAAGGGGTACGACACCATGTCCCGGGAGCAGGCTGAGACGACCAACCTGGAACTCAGTCGAGACCACAGCTTCATAGCCACGATCGCGCGTTCGGCTGCTCCAGCCATTTACATTGAGAGAATACCAAACTAACGATGGAGGCGACTTCTTCAGGGGGCGGAGTGGGGAGTTCTTTTGAGGGACCTTTCATCTCAGAAGAGACCAGGGCAAGAAGCTAAAATCTACCATTCCAGTTACAAATGTTCCAACACAGACAAAGGGAAGGGGATAAAGCGAACTCCGCAGACTGTGGAAATGCTGTCGTGCAGTACACACTGAGAACTTCAGGATTTTCTTTGCTTTAAACTTTCAAACAAATTCCTCAATGTAAATATTAAAGAGAGATTGTCGAGTTCTTATTAAAAAAAAAAATAGATTTCACTCTAGCTACATAAAGGGATGGATTAAGAGTTTTGTTTGTATATTTGATTTTTCTACATTGCACGGTTCCAGGGAAGGAGAACCACAGGTAAAAAATAAAGGGGTTGGGGTGGGAAAGGGGTTGGGAGGGATGGGTCAGCCATGATTCCTTATTAAGTGTTTATTACTCTTCAAAGATTTGTTTAATATTTTTGTTCTTTTTAAACAAATGAAAGATATATATTTTCTTTTTTCTTTTCTTTTTTCTTTTTTTTTTTTTTTAGTGGTCAAGCGCTAATATTTCAAACCAGACATGGGCATTAAAGCTTATGTTGAACCAAAAGGACATTGGCAATTGATGCAGCAGAAACAAAGAAACTTGGGTGCATGTACATTTAAGAGACAGGCTGTACACTATGGAGGGTGCTTTTGATTTTTACTATCTTCATTGTGCTTCATTGTTGACACTATAATTACTTTTCGGGCTCTAAAAAAAGGGAAAAACATGCAAATGGTGTATCGACTCTCATATTTACAGTCCAGCGGTGCCGTAAGCAAAATTAATGGACATTTGGGAACCAAAATGGAAGTGATGTGCTTGAAGTGGATCAAAAGGAAAATCTTTAAAAGCAAGAGTGTTTTGGTGAAACTCACTGGCTGACACAATTTCTAAAACACAGGAGAATGTGTAACATTGTTTTTTGTTTTTTTAATTAATTATTATGATCAGTTAGTTTTTGTGTAGTTTTTATCAATAAAATGACAACAACAACAACAACAACAACAAGTGGTGGAAAAAAAATAAACATATTATTTTGTGGTTGGGACACCACAGCCAAGCTACTGTTTGAATGATTTCTCTGGTTGTGTGACACGGTGACTCAGTGGCCGAAGGGAACAAGGCTCGGTCCTGTTTCACCTCTTCTTACAGCTAAAGGAATTGTTTAAAGTTTGGAAAAGTTGTCTCCAAAGAAGCTCAGTGTCTTGGGCCTGTCTAAGAAAAGGTTTTGAGGTGATTTTATAAAAACATGTGTATGATCCTGCGGGAGGGGAAAAGGGAGAGGGACAAGCCTTCTGGTTTTACTAAATGTTTTTTCTTCTTGCATCAGAAGGCAGGTTTTTCAGATACAAACCCTGTGATAAAGCTAAATTAGAAGATAATGCTTTTAAGTGGAGGGTGAATAATACAACGGGTGTTAGAATTCCTTGATTGTTTCAGGTACTTGTATTGGGTGTGCACGCTTGGCCACAAGGTAAGGGTTTGATGCATGAATTTCTGGAAGTGCTGCTCCTTGTATCACGTTCACAACTTGATATTGTCTTCTGCATTTCTCACCTGAAAAACTTCGTATCTTTCTTCAAAAGGAAAGGAAGAATATGTATGGATGTATGCATTCTGTATGCTAGGCAGCTTGCAGGGAAACATGGACGTGCAAAGTCAACTGGCTGCATCGCAGGTAATGTATTTAGAATTAAGTGTTAGACAGGAAATGAAAAGAAAATGGAGTGAAAGGCTAGGTGATGAGTTTACAACCAGCTGCATTAGCCATTGTGATATCTGTCAGCTTTAGCACTGCTACAGACAGGGCAAAAGACGCTTGAAACACTAGGCTTCTTCAAATTGAGTTTAAAACATTGACCCACAGCCTATTAAGCTGAAAATGGAAGCGCCTGCTCTCTCTCCCATTGATTCCTGTGGGCTCTGGATCAGCAGCAGAATACATTTCAGTGAGCATCAAAAGCCTAGTGGCATTCCCATGCTCCTAGGAGATGAGAACCGTAGTGGTTTTGTTACAAGGTTCATCACTGCGAGCACAGGCTCCTGGTTGAATTAATGCCTTTCTGCCTGTAAATGTTTTCTGCTGTTTAAAAACTGATGCCAATTTGGGCAAGAGACCTACAACTTTCTTTGGTATTCTTGATGATTAAGGAGGTCGTGTTCTAGGAATGTGTTGGAGGCATAAAGCTATGCCTTACCTAAGTGCTAAAGGTCACGAAGAGCTGAATATTCATGCGGTGAGTTGCTTTGGATCGAAGCACGATGTCATGGCAGCATGTACCAAACTACCTGAACTAGTGTTAATTAGGTGGTTGTAGTGATCAAACTAAAAGGGCTCTATACAAAGCTATCTGGGACTCAAGATGTAACAGAAATTGAGTCTACCACAGCTGCAATTACAACCAAAGAAATCTGATAAAACCTAGGTTTGAAAAAAGCCAGAATTGTAATATGATCAGCTCTAGCCTTTTGTTACGAGTTTCATATTGTTTTTTGTTTTTCAAGTGTCAGTTCCTGGAATCACGATTATATTACACCTTCAGCTTAAAAATATACCTGCACTCTTCTTAGGGAAGGCCTTTCCACTCCTCTTCATCCAGCTGTTTGGAGAGAAGTGGCTGCGCTCTGAAAGGGAGGATGGAGCAGCTCACCAGGCACCCAGGTAAGGCCCAAGAAATAATAATCTTTTGCAGTATCCCTAATGATTCCTCTCCTAGCAAGCACCAGATAGTCTTACTGAAGAGATCTCGTTACCGAATGTTTGCTTATGATGGCATCTTTATGCTCATTGCTGTGTGTCTGAGTGCTGAGAGTCGCAGAGCTCCCAAAGAAAGCTGCAGGCTTGCTGTGAGAGCTCACGGCTGTGCAATATCCAGGCAAGCTAGAAAAAAATCAGCCTGACCTTCAGACCAAAGCTGTTGAACTTTGTGCTTTGCAAAAGACAACAACTGATGCGACCAAATAACAGGTTCTGGAAGGCTTTGGGAAAAAAATTGACTGCTACCTGTCTCTCCTGCTAATAATTGCCTTGCAAATGTCAGCAGGGCACTGAAATTACACCATGCTGGTAATGCTGTGGGTAGGAGCTGCTACCAAGGAAGAAGAGCCTATAAAAGCAATCTGCTGTTTGGAACAGTTTCCAAGGCCGGCAATATTTGCCCTCAGATTTAGAAATCTTTTTGAACAAGCTGCTGTTTCCCATAATGAATTGGAAATGTTCTGAAGATTGATACACACAATTTTGTTGTGACTCCCCATTGGAAAAAATCCCTGAAGGAACTTGCACAGTGGGAAATCTAGTGCTTTTATAGATATTTTTAAGCATCATGATGGTTTGAGTTTCTAAAGTATTAGAGTGAAGGGAAATAATTTTTAGGAGGTTCCAGCAATTGGGTTCCTTTAAATGCACTTTTTTAAACCTGTACAGAGGAGAAGGGGGTTGATAAGGCCATAGGTTGGTCAAGCTGGAATCTTGCCTTTAATTTAGAAAAAGAAATGACCTGTCTGATATTATTGCCCACACACAAGCATTGGAATGCCTTCCACATAGCAGTAATAGCAATGAAGACTTTGTGGAGTTTGGGCTTGTTAGAGGAGAGGTTTTAATCTCGCTCCCCAGAAACTGCAGATTTCCAGGTGTTCCCCAGTGCCCTACAAGAGCAGCAAATGTTCTTCCTGATCACCGGTAGGGTTCTGCTCATCACTGGAAAGATGAGATTTGATTACTGTAGCAAGTGTAATTAACAAATAAGAATAACCCAACCATTTCTTTAAACCTCCAGCCACTGTAACTCCCTAGCAGGTAGAAAAGTTAAAATAGAAATACAGAGAGGACAAATGCAAAATGAGGAAAGCCACAAACACAGTGCTTCTGCCACCAAGGTCTGGGGTCACTGGCGGAGTTGCAGAAGCAAATGTTCTCTCATTTGCTTCTAGTGCAGTTATTTCGCTGGTGCTTAATGCCCATTGTTTGCTTTGATGCCCTGGTGGCTGGCATTTTAATAATATGTAGGCAGGTTAGAGTAAATTAGTCTACAGAAGAGAATTATGTCAGTCATTACTGGAGTCAGGGGATACATTACACCTTTGTCATTACTGTGCTAAGACACATTCTAGTGAGGCAAAAATAAAACTACATTTGAGGGAGGCAGATCCCAGGTTTCTCTCCCACAACATCAGCCCCAAGCCTCCAGTGCTAACTCAGCGTTTCAGAGGTCTTCAATGAACTGTGGAGATGGGTATGAACATGATCTGCTCGCTTCAAAGACATGATGAGCTTCAGTGACTTGAAGATACATCGCCCTAGCCAATTATTTAGGCAACTTTAAAAATCCAGCAAGCTACGTACATGTTTATTTCTTATTTTTGTTGCATGGTTGATCTACAGGTAAGACAAGCTTTCTGAAGTAGGTACAAATAAGCTATTAAATGCGTTCTTGCTTCTCTAATTTCTGTATTTTTTTTTCCTAGGAAGTATCCAAAATTGGGCAGAAAAGGAAGAGAGTCATTCCAAACTCAGTAGTAGCTGAACCATTGTGCATCTGCAAGGCAGCCTTGAGTAAGTGAGGAGTTACTGCCTCTCACGGAGGCAAGATGCAGATGATCAGCTGCCAGCTGGCCAGGTAGTAGATCTTATTCCTGTTGCATTCCTGTGGACACTGTGGAGAGAACAACTGGCCTTGCCCTTGGTGAAGCAATGGCTTTTAAGACAGCTCATTGCATCAGTGGCTGCAGGAGCTCCAGGGGGGATGCTGCCTTAACCATGTGGGGTCAGGCAATGCTGACTCTGCTACTGCTTTGCCACATGACCTTGAGAATACCAATTTCCTTTTTTTTTTTTTCCCTCTTCCTAGATGTTAGCGTGTCTCATTTCAATCATAGGCTTTTTGGTACAGAGCCTGCCTCTCATGCCCCGTGTTTTGCACTAGAGCAGCCATGTTCTCAGTGACAACTTCTGGTGCAACTGAAACAGAAATAAATAATAAAGCCTCAAAATCCCTTCATGTCTCCCCCCCTTCCCTGCCAGCAATACCCCCCAGTGATATTTTGCGTATTTAAAAGGCAAGCAAAATCAATGTGATAACGTAAAAACTATGGTTGCTCGTGACTTTCAATCAGCACTTCGGACTCCCCAGTGATCTGAAGCACTCTTATTTGCTAAAAGTGTGTTCTCAGAACAGCAGGAACTAGAGGATCTTGATAGGCTGATGAAGCAGGAAAAAGAAAGCATTTTCTTCCAAAGTCCTCTTGGGATTTAGAGTTGAAACAGAAGGCAGCTATCATAAGCAGCAGTGGTAGAGTTTTGCTGGGAAAGAAAAAAAAAGAAAACAGCATACCCCAATAGTTTAGAACAAAATAGATTTTATGTCACCATCTTGTGACTTGCTTGTTTATTCAGGCTGAATTTTCAGGGAAAAATAGGACTTGACTGCATATGGACATTTTATTTATTAAAAGCAAGAGGATTGGGCAAATTAAATCACAGAACAGTAGGAAAATGTGGGATGGAAAGGTCCTCTGGAGGTCATCTGGGTCAGCCTCCTGGTGAACACAGGTAACTTCCAAGTGACATCTGGTTGCTCACAGCTTTCCTTTTCTGGCTGCCTGGCACCTTACTTGAGAATTTCCTGGGGTTTCAGTGACCTGTTTGAGTTAATAGTTGTATTTACCCCGCACGTGACCCCAGTGCTGGATGCAGGGTCTGTAATCCTGGAAACTGTAAAAAACAGAAGAAAAAGTCCTTGCCCAAAGAACTTTTTCTCTGGGGATCACTCCAGGAAAAGCAGATGGGTACAGATGTACAAAAGAGCACATGAGCAGAGTATGGGCTATAAGAAACATTGGAAATAGGAATTTCAGTAGCTACTATTGTGTTAAAAAGAAAGCAGTGCCATCCCTGAAACACTTTGAGCAATGTCAGGGAGCTTTTTTCCTCTTAAATTTAGGTAAAGGAGCCTACACATGAGAGATTTGTGTTTCATAGTGCAGCACCCCAACTGTGGGACTGAATTCATTTTTAAGTTCCTTTTATTAGGCAAAAGAATGAACGGGTTCTCTAAGCCGTAGCTAATGATATGCAGGTTGTAATTTATAAATAGCATGCTCCGTATTTGCAGTGTATTTATATCATATTATGTAAGATAAATTGTTGGCAAACATTCATAAAATATTTATTGGACATGCCACTGTTTGTTCAATGATTTATAAATCAATGCAGCAAAGTGTAAAGTGGTGACAGAGTTTCAGATAAATTCTTCGCAAAATATTTGCTGTGCATCAATAATTCTGATATTAATTACTTTACAGTTTATCTGCAAGTGCTTTGGGAATAATACGCAGTTCACTGTCTCAGTAGCCCAACTAACAAGGGGCTCGAAGCGTGGCTCAGATTATCTTCTAGACCTGCTCGGTGTTGGCGTACTTCAAGAACAAACAAATCTGTCCCTGTTCTGTGCATCGCTGTTGCAAATCTGTTGTCAGAGGTTTGAGAACCAACAGCAAGTGGAATCAGCTGGAGATGCTGAGGCAGGAAACTCAGGGTGAGCACCTCCATCAACAATTAGCTTAAGTAGTGGCCTGCTTGCAGCAGTGACCAGTCCTGCCTCACCATAATCTTTTTTCTGGGCTGGTTGAATCTCTCACATTCTCCACTTTCACATGCAGGACACCTTTCTCTTCTTGCCATCCTTTTGTTGCAAGTCTCTGTTTCCTTAAGGACCGGCTTCCTAGGGACTTTGTTGCAATGAGACATTTTTTTTGGCTGGAGTTTGAGACCTTAGAGGTTTACAGTTTTCTGTTTTCCTTCACCCAGAAAAGAAATAATAGGAATTGTAAGAGGAACTGAGATTCTTATTTTGCTACAAGGTCCTAGCAGCCACAATGACTTCTTGTCTCCCCCTCTGCTCTCCCAGTAAAGCATTAAATGACTTAGAAGACCTGAAAACACTTAGATTAAAAAATAAAGAAAAAAAAAAAAAAACTCCACCATAAAGATTAAAATAAAAGAGGTGTTAAGACTTCTGAAAACCAGTGGCCTGTATTTAAGCCTGTCCTGTACTTTCTAGAGCACCTAAGAAAGGAACAATTCTGTAAAAATAATGGATTATTAGTGCATTTAAAAGAAACAAAGCCTGCAGCTTGTCTGTTGCCTAGCAAAGAGTTTTAACATTAATTAAAAAACACATTTACAGCAGCTGGTAGACAAGGCATAGCTGGGGAAGAGGGGCAGCTTAGCTCTGATGATTGAATTGCTTCACCTGGAGGTGGTCACAAGCTCTTGGCTCTGTGCAGAGGTTTGGGCTTCTGTAGTCTGGTGCAGTTGCCTTGTGGGGGCTTTGAAAGAGCAGATCCCAGCAATGAGTCTACTTCCACACACCTACAAGTAAGTACCTGGAGCACATAACACTTAAAATATGCCAAAATAAGGAATTACTTTTCTTTAAAGAACTGGAATTATACCTGTTGAGATGCAAATAGGTAGCAGTTTGTATTTATCCATGCAAATAAGTTTTGAAGTAGTGCTTGAAACTCAGCCTGGTCCAGTAGATCAGCATGCAGTCCATTTTGCCTACATGCACAGAGTTTAAAAACGTAGTTGGTTTTAGAGTTGCAGAAATTAAAATAATGTATACTAATAGAGTGTTTTTAAAGTGTGTATACCTATCTATCTATGTGCTTGTTTACACAGATAAGTCAGCCTTAAGCTCTATGAAGTTGTTCTTAAATAAGTGTAGAATTAGCTTTTTGGATGAATTACCTCTTTGAGTTGGGCGAAACATTTAGATAAGTGTTAATGTTGTAGTGAAGATAGAATAGATAAAATAAAACGTATTGATTAACTGCTATCAATGAGAAGATACTGAAGTATGTAGCTACATAAATAGATATTTTAGTATCTCTTGGTAGCAGTTAATTTATATGTTTTATTCACGGTCAATAACATTTTTGGTGAGGAATTGCAGCACAACAAAATCGCTCTGAGCAGAAGCATCCTAATTGCGATCTGTGGAAATTTCAGATGGGCTTTGTGTGGCTTTGTTTTGCTCTGACTTTCCCTTTGGAAATAGACTTCTGGAGAGCAGCTCTGTAGAGAGGTAAAAGTGCCTTTAAGCCAAATGGGGCTATCTAAATGCATTACAGCTTATTGTGCTCGGACTTCCTTAGCTGCCTTACTGCTAAAAACAACCTTTAGGCATCCGGGTGAAGTGGGGATGGCAACAGGTAAGGCGTGTGTGAGATCGGTGTGCATTACTGGACTCCTGCTGGCAGTAACTATCAAAAGAAAATGTTGACTGATAGCCCCAGACAGTAAACCTGAGAAAGGTCAGGTATTGCAGGCAAGGAAACAAGAACAAAACCTGGACGTAGTAACTGGTAAAGCTGCAGGAATCGCCACTGGGAGCCATCCCTTCGTTGTGAGCATCGCTGACCTCTCTTCAGGTCTTAGATTATCCATGTAATGCAGTTAGGCGTATCGATTGAGAGGCAGTGAATTTCTGTCTTGTCCAGTGCCTTTTGAAAGATGTTCTGTGGCACACTTGGCTTTCCTCTCATGTCGTGCCTTATAGTTTTTAGATGCTAAGTTCATCTGGGCAAGTTTTTCCTGGCTGTTTTTCTGTATGTTTTTGGTGGAGCACTGTGCATGGTGTCAATTTGATAAATAATGCAAATGACAGATTGTTAAGACAGGTCAACAGAGATGTAGAGGTACTAGTGGAAGGCTGCGCTGTGATGTCTGGAAGTCCAGAGTTAAATTAACTGATGATGTATGATAAGAAAGGGATGTTTGTTAAAGCTGCACGGATTATAGTTTGTGTCAACTTCTGGTAAGGTTTCAGTTGTGCAGTTTAGAGACCTGTGTTCAGACTCCCTATACATAACCTTCAATCTGTATCACCCTAGACACCTTAATAAGTATATGAAAACCTAAGCTGATGTGTGCCATGCCTGGCCTGTGCTTATTTTATTTCTTACGGAGAGGAAAGTTGGGTGAGGCCTAACAGCAGCGGCCTGCTGGTGCCCTAGAAGAAATGTCTCCTCAGCTCCCTCGTGGCAGGGCCTCTGCCTATGTTAGGGGAGTAAAGTCAAAGGGAGGATGTGAGACTTCAGCCCAGGACCATCTGTGGTGCTTTACCTCATTGGAGGTGGGCAAGTGGGCCTGGAACTTTGATCCTGTCTTTCCAGTGCCCCAAATACCCCAATTTACTGCTATCTGGGCAGGCTGGAGTAACAGTGAAGAGGTAGAAAGCAACCCTGATGGGTGCTATTTGGTAAACTGTGGTAAACTAAATCTTGTTGGCCATTTTTCTTCTGCTGAGGACCGAATCCCTCAAGTTCCTAAGATCCATCTGAGTAAGTAAAAATAGGTAACCATTTTCCTCTGAGTTCTGTCTTTCAGTGCTCTGTGCCGTGGCTTGCCCATAGGTAGCTGCCTGCCTGAGTTAAATCCCTGTGGGAAGCACATGTGGAAAACATCAAAAGCTTTTCTCTCTTGTTTGTGTTAGCAGAGCACACAGAATTTTAGTGTGTTTTCAGCACTGAGACAGGTTTTCTGAAGGATGTGGAAGCTGGAAATCAAGGTGACTTATGCTTCTAGGACTAACAGGATTGCACCCAGTCCTACTGTTTCTGCAGGTGTGACAAAACCCAGTGCATGCTAATATAATATTTTTGCTGCCTACCTCTCTGATCCTGGGTTATCAGCGTTTAAATAGCAGGAGTGGATGCTGCATAGAGAAAAAGGACTTGACAAAGAGAAGAGCTGCTGAATATCTGGTAGAAACTGAGCAAGACTTACCACTGTGTCCCATTCTCAAACCACGTAAAGAAAAGACTTGAGAAATGCTGATCTGTAGTATCAGCAGGCAGAGATTGTCTTTACATTTGAATGCTTACATTCGAACACTGAGCCTGCTGTTCGGGGGCTCCTGAGCCTGACTGCACATTGAACCCCCTGGAGAGCTTGCGAGATCCTCACCCTGGCTCTCTGATCTTCATTTGTTGTGTCCCTTGTGAATCTCAACTGAATAATGATTTGGTGTTCAGCTGGGAGGGGAAGGAAGACTGGCACGGTGGCTATGAATATGTATGTTGAAGTATTAGTGGTTGGTTTAGTGTAAACAACAAAAATGTCATTGAATTCTTCCCAACAAAATTATCTGTAGTCCTGTTAGGATGCGTGAATGGAAGAAAGGCTTTTAGTCTTTGCAGGGTAAGCTGACTAGTTATCTGTGGAGATTATTTGATACTTGTTTATATGGAGTTTTCTTGGTCTGTACTTTGAAGCGATTGATTTTTTTGGCCATAGTAGGAGGGATGTTGCTAAATTAAAAAGGCTGCTGGCCTACTGTGAAAACTTTTGAACTTGCAAGAAAGGAAGTTTCAGAACAAGTCCTTTCTGAACAAGGAAAAGAAAAACAAATTTGTAGGGAGAAGTGGAGTACAATTGAACATTGGCTTTTAAAAAAACATAAAGGGTATCCTGACAATTATGAAAAAATACTTGGTTTTTGCTTTCCTTTAGATTAAGGTGCACTATTTTAGATTTTTACATGGAATTGAGATTTACAGTAGAGGTTTCAACCTTCTGAAAGGCATCAATATTTCAAAAGCACAAGAAAGTTGGTTTACAAACTATTCAGTGGTATTAAATAATGTATATGTACTTGTGAAGAAAACAAAAAATCAATAGCTATTGCAAGTTTAGCTCTGCATGAATCCTAAGGAAATGTCAACAGTTCTTTTCTGTGTTATTTCTATTGTGCCCATCAAATGGCTTGGGTTCTCTTTTGAAATGATTTTTCAATATTGGCTTTTACATTGTGGTAAGTTTTATGCTGACCATTCTTGGAGGAGTCTAAATTCATGTTTTTATCCTCAGAAATGAGTTTACAGAGACCTTTAAGCATTTCTTGGAAAAATGTCAATGAAGTGATGGGTAATGAAATGCATTGCCCTCTTCATGCAACAGAAATCTCAACTTTTTGCTCGTGTTGTCCTTACTCGAACTAGGGATGCTGGTTTCCTATAAATGCCTGTGTCAAGGGCCATATGTTTCCCCAGACAATTAGGAATTACTGTTTGGGTGGGTGTCTTCATGCAGTCTGTCTCCTACTTGCATTATTATTTTTGTTTCAGAACAAAAGTGCTCCATGCTTGTACAAGTAGAAACAGAGAACTCATCTAGACACCATGGGGGTACTAGTGTGTGCAGGCAGAGTAGTATGTGTGGCTTGCCAGTCTCTAACTTCATGCCCTTCTATCAAAAGGTGGCCAAAAATTAAGGAAAGTGTTCAAATGGGTTCAAAAACTCGCCTTTGTACAAGCCTACAGCAATTCAATTAAAGACAACTAGTAAAAGTTTAGGCTGCGGGGTGGCACAGCCTTTGGTGACATGAGTAGGACAATTTATTTTTGGCACCAAATTACAATGATTATAGGTGCTTTTTATCTTAAAAAAAAAATAAAATAGAGGTTATGGCAGAAGGAATAGCTAATGGTGATTGTTACTCAATCTGTTCAATTCTACAATCTTCTGAAAGACCCCCTATACATAATAGATATATATAGCTTTTATAAAATCAGTTTATAGACAAGCAAGTGTTAATATCTGTGACTATCTATAACATACATTGAAGTATATCTATATTCTTACAAGTTTTACATGATAGCTATCGAGTTTTAGATTGTAGTGCAGATACTGGTGCTGAATAGTATGAGTGCTCTTGGTGAAATTAGATGGAGTACGTAAAAAGTCAAGCACTACTTGTGGTGAGCGAGGACATCTAATCCTTCTCCAGGAGGGAAAAGATACGGCGTACCTGAAAGAAACATCTCTGTGGGCTCTTCTGCAGCATTGTTGGTGCTTCAAATCGCTTCCCTCTGGCATCGGGATGATTAAGACAGACCTTCCAATTTCAGAAGCAGTATCTTGCTTGAATTAGACCAGCTGAAGTATAAAAGCTAATAAAGACAGGTAAGGGCTCACGTGTTTGGGCATAGGGTGACAGCATCTTGGTGGCAGGATTGATTGTAGTAGCCCCCTTGCTTCTCGTTTTGTTGCCTCAGTGTACCTGTTAGGTTGGCCAGGTGGTAAACTCGGCTATGAATGGATCAATTGGGTGGCAAAATGGTCAGGAATGGGAAGGAGAGCAGAAAACAGCAGCAGCATAACCTGCCATTGCTGGCACCACAGTTGAGGCTGTTGAGCCTTGCTATCGATAACCACCTTCCTGCCTTGTGCATCTGAACAAGAAATGATGGGGAGTTTCAGCTGCTTTGCTACCCATTAATGCCTCATTTCACTCCCAGAAAAATGAAGTTGACATAAACTGGTGGTTTCCAAATGATCTGTAAGTATCTAGTTTAATGACTGAGTTAGAG